ATTCTGCTATTGCGTGGCATGTAGGCGTCTAAAACGCCTGCCTGTTTGGAAAATGGAGGAGTGAAGAGCACTCCACAGACAATTGCACTTGAATTTTGAATATAGTTTTTTTGTTCCTGGGGATTTTTAAGACAAGAGCCAGGTTATTTTCCATAATGGAGGATGACAGTGGAACGGATGATGATTTATTTGAATGAATCGTTTGTATTTGTCGGTTTCAAGGGCCATACAGTGAGTGTGTGTGTGTGTGTGTGTGTGTGTGTGTGTGGGCATTGTAGAAACATACATGTATAAATGTATAGATAATCATAATTCAGGATGCTTCTTTCAAACATCATGTGTTAAGAGTTGCATGAAAACTGGGTCAACACTGATTGCGCAAAATCTTGTATGTACTCAGGTGTGTCTGCATATTTGCATTTGTGTGTGTGTGTGTGTGTGTGTGTGTGTGTGTGTGTGTGTGTCTGCTTGCAGTGGCCACCGTTCCTGTATGAATAATGTGTGGAAGACAGGACGTGTGAGTGAAAGAGAGCAGACAGAGGATGTGTGTAACAAGAGAAAGTGGAATGGAGGTGGGCAGCGGAGACCGAACCGAATGAAGTGTGCAGTGTGTGTCGGGACTGGAATGCATTCACACACACACACACACACACACAGAGACACAAGCATACGTATATGTATGTTTAAATGTCAATGTGTTCCAGTGGCTAGTGTAAGCAGACTGTGGGTTGGGAGGGGGGCGTGTGGTACACATACATACACATGTGTCTGTGTCTATGTGTGCGTGTGTGTGGGTCTGTGTGTGTGTGTGTGTGTATTGGGGGGGTCCAGGGCCATAGTGTGTGTTCAAGATGGAAGCTGCTGAGTGCGCTCACTGTTCAACTAGTTCATGCTGCATAAGCAGAAATACTCAACAACTTCCCAGACTACAACTTTGTCTGGGAAGAAAAGAGTGTGTGTGTGTGTGTGTGTGTGTGTGTGTGTGTGTGTGTGAGTGTGTGTGAGTAGGGTGTGTTTAGAGAATTGATGTGGTGTAAACATTTAGGTCACAATAATATATGCATGTCAGTTTAAGGGTGTGTTGGGTGTTTGCATTTTAAAAGTAGAGCACAGTGAGTTCATGCTGAACCTGTTTTGTGTTTGTGCGAGTCTGTGTATGCGTGTGTGTGCGTGTTCTATATGCTACTGAATGTCTGTGTGTGTGTGTGTGTGTGTGTGTGTGTGTGTGTGTGTGTGTGTGTGTGTGTGTGCCTGTCCTCTTCCTGGTTACTATATTTTGTATGAGCTGTGCGCTCCCCTTGTTCCTGTGCTCCCGCTTCCAAACGAGCGTGTCTGTGTTTAGGTTGGAGGTCCTTAGGTGCTCACGCCCCAGTTCCTCCAATTCTCCAAACCACAGTAGATCCCAGCTCGGATAAAGCCTCTTTGTGTATGTGTGTGTGTTTTTCATGTGCGGAGGCAACCTTGTCTTTGTCGAAGATCACCACGTGTTGAAATATGCGTGAGTGTTTTTCTACTTTTGGCTCATCTGGGGGGAAAACCTTTTCGTGACGATCCTCGGACGCTGCCATTTTGGAGCACATTCCTGGCTCCTGGACTCGGCCCCGGAGTCTCACTTTCAGTTGATATGGGTCGTCACATGTTGAGCCAACATGGCTGTAAAGAAAGAGGAGCTGGGAAACATCTATCCTAAATGGAAACAGGGATAAAATGTGTTCATTTGCTGTTGACGGTTTGACCTTAGAGCCTCAATATCTGCCATTGTTTTCCTTTTTCTGATCTGTCAAGCTTCTAAAACTATTTATTTTTCCATTTCACTCCAAATGTGTTTTCCTAACTTGACTTTCTACCACATCCCTTACTTTGTTTTCCATTACTTCATAGTTGCAACTTAAAAAAAAAAACGCACATTTGCTGACATCCTGTTTTCTGATGTCGGATTGGTGAACTGAGATCAGGGACGTTCTGATTGGCTCATTTCTCTGAGGACACCTCTTAACTTCAGCATTTGATTTCATGTCATCTGAGCACCGCTGCACTTTCCCTTTTGTGGCACAGTACGTGTGTGTGGATGCCAGGATGCTGGTTTGCATGGAACGGCCAGTGCAGAAAAAAAGATACCTACACACTAACCCCCCCCCCCAC